AGAAAATTGTCAACCAGTTGAAATTGGTATGATATCCTTAGTTTTACTTATGTACGCAGACGACACAGTTCTTATTGCAGAAACACCGCATGCTCTACAATCTATGTTAGATGCTTTATGTGTGTATAATAATGTATGGAAGCTTACTCTTAATGCAGATAAAACTAAAATTGTCGTTTTCAGGAATGGTGGTATTGTAAAACAGGACGAAAGATGGTGTTATGACAATAGCGAAGTAGAAGTTGTTAATGTATTCAATTATCTAGGTATGCTTTTTAATTTTAACGGAAAATTCAATAAAACTCAGCAACATGCCGCAGAAAAGGGAAGGAAAGCCTATTTTGCATTATCAAGCAAATTAAAAAACCAAAAATTTGATAGTGAAACATTATGTTCTGTATTCGACACTTATGGAAGCAGTTTATTGGGGTATGCAAGTGAGATATGGGGTTTTCACAGAGCTTTAGAAGTTGAAAAAGTTCATACATATTTTTGTAAAAAAACACTAAGTGTGGGTAAAAATACATGTTATGACCTTGTATATTACGAATTAAGTAGACTTCCAATGTATGTTGTTCGGAAAATGAAAATATTAAAATACTGGGTTAAAGTGAAAGAAACAGACAATTGTATATTTAAAGCATGTTATGAACAGAGAATATTAGATAATGATGATTGGATTATAAATATACAATCAGAATTGAATAAGTTAGGATTAGGGTATTTATGGAATAACTGCTATGAAAGTAAGATTGTGTACAAGTTAATAGAGCACAAATTTTATGTCAGATCTACATGATCTAAGGGAGGTAACTGTTACATTCGAACTCCACATTATAAGTTCTGCTCTACTTTTTGAATTTAAAACAATGATCGTAATCCCTTTTGTCTTGATAATTTGGTGCTGATACTTTCCCATGCTAAACATTAGTCATATATTGATGCAATTCATTGCAGATTGTTTCTAAAACAAGTGTAGGAAAACGGTCCCAGTCAGCGACGGTCCCAGTCAGCCCCGGTTCCAGTGAGGGCAGCTCAGCTGTTTGATACTGTTGGATGTACACTCAATTAGTTTCAATTAGTTTATTCTGTAAGCCTTACGACTCATAAGATACAAAACACAATATTACCAGGTCAAACAGAGTAATGATGTACAGGAGAGTGATAATTGTATATAATCGTATCACATACACACATACAAGAATGTGATAATACTATAATGACTGAGAGCGCTTCTTAAAAGCAAATCTTATATATTTACAAAGATTACACACATCTTTAACATTATTAGCACTGAGCGATTGAACAAATTTAAATACACTGGGACGACTAAAATAATATGGCTTCAGGTATCTCACCCGTAAACCTGCATAAATAGGACACTTAAGGATGAAGTGAAACTCATCCTCAATATTATGAGTATCACATAATGTACAAACTCTATTGGACCTAGCTAAATTATTGTATCTTCCACTTTCAATATTGAGCTTGTGGGCGCTTAAGCGAATACATGAAATACTGTTCTTATACAACTGATCAATAGGTTTTTTCAGGTAGTATTGCAGACCAAAATTATCTACTAAATGCTGATACAATGTTCCTTTTGGGGAATTCTGTATTTTAGACAAAATTTCTTGTACACGTATATCATAAAATCTAGGATGCTCTAAGCCAAATTGGGATGAAATCCTTCAATCACTATGGTAGAAGGATTTTAAAGGTTTACCTTTATTTCCCCTATTGGGCCCCGCCTCTCTGCCCTCAGGAGGGAGGGGCACACATCCACTGTTTATACAAATTGAGTCCCCTTGGCCCAATGCATCGTCACTACAATGGAGTGTATACGAAGCGAACACTTGGCTAGCGAATATCGGCCCAAGGATGCTACAGACTAAATTAGGATAAAATCTCTTAATCCCTACGGTAGAAGAAGTGTTATTTATCGTGCTAATTAGAGTTAATTACAGAGCAGCCTCTGTGGAAGTTTAATGAGGAACTGATGACAGATTTTTTAATGAATTTAAGAACAGGTATTCAACTTTTGATACATTTGGGAAAAAAGCTCGGGGCATTTCTGTTTTGGGTCACCGTTTTTATTTGTAAATTGGGAATTTTGAAAAACAACTGTTTAGTATATATTCGTCTAGCCCGAGTTTTCTCTTGCCCTGGCACCAGACTTAGATATTTTGACAGTTAGATGTCTGGTGAGCGCACTACTACACGACAACGTGCAATTCTCAGACACCGTATCGGAGAGAGTTTTGAGTTGCTGACAACAACAAAAACTATTATAACACAAAACATACCTCACATATATCGATATATGGGTTATTTATTGATCCAAATCCGCCCTTATTATCACCAACACATGCATCATTCCGCCAGTAGAGTAATCGTTTTCGTATGAAAAACAATTGCTAAAATCTTGAATTCCCTGAAGAGGAGCGCAAATAATTAAAGATAGGTTCAATTCAAAATGTTGAAAATAGATTCAAATATGTGCAAATATGTTTAATTATAATTGATGATCACACTCTGGACAATCTTACCGTTGCGATTTAGTATATCTTTTTTAATATCATGAGAGCAAATTCATATATGAAATTTCATGCTACTTACACTGGTAGGAAAGCTTTAAAATCATCAGAGAACCAAAAGCATAAGGCTGAAATGTTCAACCGTCAGAGCCATTCCTCACCCTTAACTAATAACATCCCACTTAGGCGTCCCGTTAGTGTACAAACTGCTAAACAGAAAAGGTTTTAACTACATGCTTTGATCCATCGATCTAAAGCGACAGGCCCCAATGAAATACTTGTGTTAGTTATATTGTATGCTACAGAGTTTTCCCCAATGGTACGCACTATTCTTAACATATCTTAGATTCGCGCCGATGAGGTTTCAAATGATTTGACATCAACAAAACAAATTCTATAAAAAAGGATAAAATATTACACCCCGAATAACTACAGGCCTGTTTCCCGTGTAAACATATATTTGCTGTAATTTCCTGAAGCATACGATTGCTTGTCAGCATGGCTTCAGAGCGAAACACAGCAGTGAGTCTCCACGCTAGTCCTCTTTCGTGAGGCCTAATTATAACGGGATCCAAACTTATACTTGATTATACTTGACTTTCGAAAACGTTCTATATAATGTCCCTCATAAGCGGATACTCATTAACCTAGACAGTTACGGTGTGTAAGAAAGCACCCACAAGTTGATTGAATTGGTTTTGAGTTCCCGTACTCAACAGGTAATCCTTCGATGGTTGTAACGGACTTGAGCATATACAATCAGCGGTAATCCTCAAGGCCCAGCCCTTGGACCTCTCCTGTTTCTCGTCATTATAACCGACTGTCCCTTTTCCGCTAATTCAAAAACACGTCTATTTACTGACGACTGCATTCTCTATAACACTTTTTTAAACTGATAATCCTCGCACACTTCCAAACTAGGTCCACTCTCTGACTTTTTAGGAAATAAACATATGTGATATTCAATTTCACCCTAGCAAAAGCACTTCTTTTCGGTATCTAGATCAAGGATCCCAATCCAGACTTCCTACAATCTTGGTATGGCCATACACATGGAAATGTCCAATTATCTAAGTATTCTCCAAGAAGCTTAATTGAATGCACCGATCGACCGGGGCAAGTGTGGGCCGGGGTAACGGTCTAGCCGCCCCTGAAATTGTTGGTCTTGCGCAAATATTTAAAACTTCAATTATCTTATTTAGCAGTTCATGTGACTGGGTTTTAACAACAAAAAGGGGCGAAGTTTCAAGTTTTCAAGTTTTATTATATCCAAATGCAATACAGCATATAGGTAACAAACATACATACTTAAATATTCAAAATTCATATGTGATGTACAAGATGGCGGGGGACAATTCCATTCAAATATATATATGCCTACAGACATGTAATAAAGATATCACTTGCAGTTTTACAGCATGATTTTTCGTAAAGTGGTGAGAAGTATATAACAATATAATCATATGTGTGACTTTACTACCTGTATATATGTGACGACATGAAAGGATGACATCATAATGAAAACACTACATATAACTTCAAACAGCCAGAAAGAACCATGGGATGTCATTGAAGTACTATTTAACGCGCTATTAACGAAGAAAACTCAATTATAAAAGTTACAAATTAAATTAGATCAGAAGTATGTGAAATTAGTCCATAACTACACGGAGAAAGTTACTTGTGGGAAGGTAGAAAGAAATATTTATGTCATGTACCAATATCTTCCGATAGGAAAGTTAAATTTTCCAACATGGGCGTATTTGTCATTTTGTTAAATTATTTTATGATAGACATTGAATTTCTCTTCCAAATGGTGTATAATCACATTTTCAACAAATGCCATACTGTCCAGAATGACTCTAAAAAGGGACCGAACGTGTCTCGGTCTCCCCTATGCATCTCCCTTTACACACTATGATCACAGGGACCTCATAATTTCTCACATCTATGTTTGGCATATATCATCTATCAATGAGGGAAAGCAATTTTACCGAAAGTCGATATAAATCCCACAAACGTCTAAAATTACCCTGAACACCTAATTAGTTAATTTAGGTCCAATTAAATGTTAGCTGTAACGAAATCTCAGGTGCCTGTGACCAAGATAGCTTTAAACATATTTTTCTGCGGTTGAGGGTGAAACATGATTTTGCAAGGAATCGTGTACTATGTTAGATAACCTAACAACTGTGTTGGGGGGAACAAATCTGTCGATGCTGCACCTATAGGCCTACTGTCAGGCGATACACGCATGCGCAAATGCCACCGGTTCAAGCTTGCTGATAGTTTCCTGTTTATTAAACAACTTCTAGGCTATTTAACAAGGTAGGCTATGTGTGTAATGTAAAACCAAGCGATTTATAAATAGATACGTTCCTGTCGAAACAAATGTATCGATTCTGTTTTATTTTAATGCAGTAAAAAACTGTTAGTGATATTACTTTCCTTTTGTATATATTTTGTACGATCGTCTACCAGATCATGCAGATGTACATTGTATATATGCGACTTCGAATCTGACGAACTGCAATTGATACATTAAATGTTATTAACTGCTGGCACTCAAAGTAACGTTGAGGTGACTGTAAATGGAATGGTCCAATGATATAAACGATTTTCTCAGTGATATTAAATGTGTAACAGGACAAGAATAGTGTGTGCTCCCACCGGGGATCGAACCCTCGATCTCCAGGTTCCTAGCTCTATCACTGAGCTAAAGAGAAATTCCCTCTATCTCGAAGCCCCCTTTTTAAATGTGTTTGCCCTCGAACACCACAAACGGAAATTAACTTTGGTGCGAAGCTAGTAGAGCGATCCTGATCACAATAATGTACAATTAAAACCTGCCACCACTTAACTCCCTACTTTCTAAATGTATTGCACGCCAAAATTTGAATACCACCACAGACCCATCCTGTAACTGTCTGTCGCCATCATTGGTCCCACCAGACATTTATAGTACTGTAACAGGAAAGGAAATATGCACAGCCAGACTGGGATTTGAACCAGGGACCTTCCAAACCCTGAACAGACCACCGATGTTCTAACCAATTTTGCTACCATGGTCGTTGGCGATCGACCCAGTCCAGTTTCACTACATTAATTCCTCCATCCTTTTTCAAAGTCTTTGCCCCTTAAGACAACACTTTTTACAACCCAGATTTGGGTATTCCTTGCCAAGTATTCACAAAGTAATTGAAAAATCGGTTGGTCACAGGCAGCTGACTGTTACAGCACATGTACAAGCCTTGTCTGTCAATTCACCTATAATATAATAATAAATTATATTATGGGTGTATTGACAGATGAGGCTAGTTCCTGTAACCATATACACAGCCAGACTAAGATTTGAATCCAGGTCAACCAATTGAGCTTCCTGGTTGGCGACGTTTGACTCAATCCTGAACTTCCATTTACTCTAAAAGATTTTTGTATCCAAAGAAGCACTGACTAGTCTCTGTAATTGCAATAATGGTCGTTAAAAGCTGACAGTGCAAGACAAGAACCACGGATTAACATGCAAATAGTAATACTAATCTTCTTGGCCAAAGGATGTTCCAGACAAAATTTTGTTATGTTCACTTAACCCTTTCACCGCACTGTGGACCACAATGGACTCATCCAGATAGAGCTATGGTAGAGTCTAGTAAAGTTACCTGGGGGTGAAGGGGTTAACTCCCCTTTTAAGAAGGAATTTGAGTTTTTGATTACTTGGCACAAAGCCAGTGTCTTTAAGCTGTTTGCAATGGTACAGCATCCATAATCCATCTGGCATACAGTGTCAATTATTACCTTAAACAAAAGTGAGAATGCAGTTACATTTTAATGTGAAAGCCAGAGAGTAGAAAAACACATACGACAAAGCTAGCTACACTATATATTACTTTTCGTCCATTTAGATAGATTGATCCTTTGATGAATTTTGATTGTGATTGTTATTTTATGTTGTAGATGAATCTTCCCATGGAAGCCAAAATACTGCATGCAGAACTTATAAACAAACTCAGTGGTCACCTAGACCCAAGTGTGGGACTGGAATTTGAACAGTTTCGTAACTCTCTGTCAGTTCACCTCATGCCTGCAGAAATGAGCAAATCTGAAAGCCTGTTCAGTCTACTGAACAATTTAGGGAAGAAGGGGAAATTCGGAGCAGGCAATTACAGTGTGTTGAAGTCATTGATCACAAATCCGCATATTCTATCGATCATAGAGAGCTATGAGCAAAAAATCAATGAAATTCTGTTTCCAGAAAGAGTGAGCAAGTCCACAGCTTCCATGGAGACTGATGGCCCTCCTAGTAAGTAATACAATGTAAAATGTTTTATTAAAGAGATGATCCAAAATACAGTAAGAAAACAAAATTATGACATTGAGAAGAATTACTTTTTGGTCTCCAGCTTTATAGAAATACTGTAATAATGATCAGATTGGTTGATAACATAATTAGCCTATATGTGTATGAACATCTGGTTTTTTTTTGCAAAATATTAATTCTGACCTGTGACCTCTAATAGTATTCAAATCCATATGGTGAGTGGTATTTTGACCTCTATTTAAGTAATGCAGCATCCTAGTACTGCTTTCAATATATAATGGATACAAACACCTAACAAAAATAGCTGACCACAGTGAGATAAATTGTCTGATCTGGTCTACTGTATTCCGGCTTTGTGTATTGCAGAGTTGTCTTCTCTTGTGAGCAGGTTTTGATTGTTACGTCATTGGTTTGTGAGAGGAACGTCATCAATTTTTGAGAAAACAACGTAGTTTTCTCACACAAACCAATGACGTAACAATCGATACCTGTTCACAAGAGAAGATAACTCTGCAATACGCAAAGACGGAATTAGTATTACTTGTTATATATGTTTCATGTCGCTGGTATGTCTTATAGTAACACGTATTGATACAAAGTTAAGGTTGATGTTACCAGCTACAAGTATGCGGCTTTTACAGTGTATTATGACATTTATATATTTGTCGTTATTGTTACCCCACGGTTCCCGGGAGGACTATAGGTTTGCACTCCGTCCGTCCATCCGTCCTTCCATCTTCCATCCGAGAAGTTTGTCCAGGACATATCCTTAACCATGGCTACATATGAGTACATGCTTAGCCCAAAGAGATCAAAAGTTATACAAACTAAGGAGCTGACCCTCAAAGGGGCTGAGGGCCTGGATACAGAGGGGGTCAAATTGATGTATATTATTTTTTCAACATTTTCTACCTACAAAGTGTTGAGTAGATTTCAACCAAACTGTATTTGCAGCATGCTTTGCCCATAAGGGAACAATAGTTATACAAAAGAAATGGGCCGACCCTTCTGGGGGCTGAGATAGCTAGTAGGGGTCAAAATTAAAAGTTATATAAACAAAGGAGCTTTAAAAGACATCTCTTCGCAAGCTACTAAGCAGGTTTTAACCGAATTGTTGTAATAGCATGTTTAGCACATTGGGATGAAAATTTATACAAATGAAGTGGTTAACATTCCAAGGGGGGCTCTCCTCCAAACCTACTGGGTAGATTTCAAAATATCAAGGTGACCTATTCAAGGCCATTTGTATGTATTATGACTTACCTTATATACTAGTTACATGTATTAAACTGTTAGGATTTGTATTACTCAGATATTACATTTTACATGCTATTTGTACAACAGGTAAGACTGTTGATTGTTACCAGGTACATGTATGACATGGGTATGATAGCACGGGTGTCACAAGTATGACTTGATTCTGTTGTTACCATTAGTACATGCATCACTTCTATTGCAGACCCCCTCAGACTGACAGAACAGGACCTACAGCGTCTGGCTTCATGCTTTGGCAGTGGTTGGGAGATGTTTGTTGGACAGCTAGGTGTAAGCAGTGAAAAGGTGGACCAGAAGAAAATTGAAAACCCGGCTCATATGCCGAGCCAAGTGTACAACTGTCTGCTGGTCTGGTTCAGACAGTGTCCCAAACGACCTACCATCACCGTCTTCGATCAAACTCTACAAAATAGCCTAGACTTTTGCTCAGTTAACATGGACAAATATGAAAATTTGAAAAGAGATATTGAAAACAGATAACTAAAACATTGTGAAAATAAAATAAAAACAGTTTTGGACAAATGATGTTTTCTGACCAATTTCTTATTCTGAAGTTGTACAATCCCCAATTAAATCCAGATGTTTCTTTGCGATTGACACTTGGAATATCATAACATTGGAAAGAAGATTTAATAATCTTTTCAACAGCTTTGGCTAACTATGTGTATTTGGCCTGCCCTGCATGGTGTACATGTATTAGTTACATACATTGTATAAACTGAAGATGTACAAAGTTTCGTATAACACTAAATACATTTTTTTATGGACATTGGTAAGAATCATTATAGAGATATAACTACAAATAGCAGTGATTGTTGATGCATTATATGTAACCTTGTCTTACAAATTTATTTGTATAACCTACATGTAGCTACCATAAATGAGTGGGTTTTTTACTTCCTTACAGTTTCCATCTTTCACTGTGTGTGCATGTCATTAAGATTCTTATAGCATCAATACCTCTCAAAAACTGTTAATTGAATACAAACTAGAGATTTATTTTTGTGAACAGAAACATGTCACCCCTTACTAATTTGCTACATAGTTTTTTTAACCTTTGACGAAATGGTCATGGTGACCTTATTACTGTACTCTACATGCCTTCTGTAGATGATGCAAATAAACAGGTATTTTTCAGCTTCATTGAATGATATTCCAGTCAAGAATATATAAAATATATTTTGTACTTATTTCATCTTTGACCTTGAGGTGAAGAAGGTCACTGTACAGTTTACTGCATACCAATGTGGTTGATGCAGTGATTGTATTTAAACAAGAGGCCAAATGGGTCGCATCACTCACCTGGTATTAATATCACAATTGTAAACTTAAAAGTGGACTAAAATAAAGCTACAGGCAAAATATCTGTGACTTGACTATAAATCATTCAGAATAACCTGTTACACTGTAAACGATTAAAACACATTGTGACCTTAAAAAGTCAAAAATGGACATTAAGTTGAACAAACTTCATAGGCCTTCTTCCCAGAATGCAACTTGCCAAATATCACCACCTTATACCTTTTGTTTACTGAGAAGATGCCTTTTAAGGATTTATGCACTATGGACTAGATAGATGTGACCATGAAAGTATGTCAAGGTCATTCACATCAACAGGCAATCACCCTGTATGCTTTAGTTATTCAGAAGAAGTCGTTTAAAGATTTCAACATATTTGACCTTGAAAATGGGTGAAGGTCATTTCCTTGAACAAACTTGGTAGCCCTTCAACCCAGCATGTTACTGGCCAAATATCATCATCTAAGGCCTTTTGGTTATCGAAAAAAGAAGTTTTTTAAAGGTTTTAAACATTTGCCCCCTTAGACCTTGGAAATAGATGAAGGTCATTCATTTGAACAAACCTGGTAGCCCTTCATCCCAGCATGTTACTGGCCAAATATCATTAGCCTATGCATCTTGGATATTCAGGAGAAGTTGTTTAAAGGTTTTAAACATATTTGACCCCTGTGACCTTGAAAATGGGTGAAGGTGATTTGTTTAAACAAACTTGGTAGCCCTTCATCTGAGTATGATACTGGTCAATTATCATTATTCTAGGCCTCTTGGGTTGTTTTAAAGTTTTAAACATATTTGACCCCTGTGACCTTGAATGTGGGTCAAGGTCATTCATTTGAACAAACTTGGTAGCCCTTCATCCATGCATGCTACAGGATGAAATCCTATATTGAGCAAGTGACCTTGACTTGGGCAGACTATCCTCGAAATCAATAAGGTTCTTCTTTGTCCCTATAGCAATGTATATACCAAATCTGAGCTTAGTGTGATCATAATCCAGACAAAAGAAATGCTAATTTTCAGTAATTGTGACCTTGACCCTTGACAAACTACACCTAAAATCAATAGGGGTCTTGCTCTTTCCTGATGCAACCCACAAGCCATGTTTTCGATTTATGGAAAAGTTTTGCATACAGGTATAGGTAACTCATGACCATTTGTTTAAGGTCATAGGAGTGTATTGATCAACGGAAATAGGAAGTACATCCCTTGTTGAAAACCCAATGTAGGGACCCAGTATCACAATTTCTGCATATTCTAATGTTTAATATTAAACTGATGAATATTGTATGTTTATTATTGACAGAACGGTGTATTCTCTCAATATTAAAATATTTCAAAGCAATCCAGGCATTAATTCAGTTGCTTTTGTATCAATGAGTGGCATCTGCCCATTTTTCTGTACTTAAGGAAACTGGCTACCTATTTCACTACTGTGAAGTTTTTCAAGAACGATAACTGTTACATGAAATTACTGTGTATATCGTTTTATAAAAAAATATTTTTTATCGTTTATAGATAATTTATTTTACACAATTTCAGCATTTATTTAATTGATATACATTAATGCAATACTAATCTGTCAGTATCATTTTTATTGACATTAGTTTGCAAAAATTGTGTCTTCCATTTCCCCCCAAAATTCACTCCTTTTTACAAAAAATTTCATTTAAAATCCTTAAAATTCTGACAACCTATATATTTTTTGTGGCAGAAAGTTTTCGTAACTTCAAAGCAATATAACTTCAAAATTTGAAGAAATTCTACTGAGAAATGGTGACATAATCCTATTACCTTAAACAGTGACCTTCACCTTTGCTCCATGGCCCTATTTTATATATGACCTCGGGTTTAATATACAAATGGACAATGAATCTATTTCAATATATTTTAATGAGAATTTCACTATGTGTTCAGGCTTAACACAAAAGTTGTCCTTGTACTCTCAATTTGACATTTTCTATCAAAACTAATGAACAAAATGTACAATGAAGATGTTACAATACATTTTTATCAAGACTTTGTCATTTTCTGCAAGAAAAATGTTGTGGTTTTCAGATGTAATTTAGGACACAGTGAACCTAGTTTACCAATCTTCAAAACAACCCTCTGTGTAACAACAACAAAAAAACCCAGTCTGCTGGCTAGAGGAAGTCAATACTGCAGTATCAATATATAAATAAAATAGTATAGGGTATAATGCTAAGGCAATGTCTGCACCAATCTAACCAACACATTCACAAGCTCTAAATTTTGCAAGTTCATACCAACAAACTGGTTAGGTATGTCAAGGATCAATAAATGCACCTGTAACAGCAGAAATATATTAAATAGAAAAAATTAAAGGGCAAAACTGGCATTTGAACACCGGACCTCCAAACATGAAATATTCTCAGTTGTCAATGCAGTCATTGGTGACTTCTTGGCCCAGTCCTGCTAGTTATATCTAAAATGAAAGTAAGGGGAGGTAACTGTGAACAACTGCAGTGGAATTCACTATTGTTTTGCCTGCGGTGGGACAAGAATTTTTATCATAATGTTGTTCGGAAATACAATCCTTGTAAAGCTGTGTTTGTATTGCTGTAAGTAAACAGCACCCCTTCCCCTTCTTCAGAAGGAAGTTGAATTCCATAAACATCCTTTAATATCCCAGACCTTTCCAGCTGGGTCAATTATTTTGAAACAGTATTTACACTTTTCAAAAGCAGGGATTTTTGTTCGGTGTTTATGGCTGAACTTCCTGTGAAGCAGTTGAAACATTTGACATTATATTACCATAGCAACAGTCCAAATTGAATAGCTTCTTCTATCACAGCTCATTCTTTATTATCCTAATAAAGGCTACCATTTAAGCGCCCTGGGCACAACTTACGGCAGATACGGTAAAGAAGAATTGTTTTTTAGAATGGTAATTTTATTTCTCTTTAGGATGCACTAGGTGTCACCATACTGATGTGTTGATTCCCTTTGTGATGTCCCTTACCTTGTAAAAATATAAAGGAGCAAAAGCAAACGAAACAAACTTCAGGAATTTGGGATTTACATTGGTGAAAAAAATCAGTTTTATACAACAAGAAGCATGCTGAAATTACCTTTTGCATGAAAATGTATTAAAGATTGTTTGATACAAAATGCAAGCATTAATTAAATGCTATATATGTACATATTTGTATTTATGTTAAATTAATTAAATTGATTAAATTAACATAAAACTGCACTGATTTACATTCTGTTGAATGGTTTCGGACACAGAATCAGCAACAGTGTGAGCTGTTAAGCAACCTAAGCAATCTTGAATCATGAAGATCATATATCATTGCAGTGATAATATTAATTCAAGCCAAATGTATATGTGATTGTATATGATTGCAAAAAATGTCAAAATTGGATAATATTGCATACACATTTGATTACAGGTAAATTATCTGAAGACGAAATCTACTGGACACAACATGATCAGTTTGGTACATTTACAGAGCAGGAGTCATTTGAACTGAACATATGAATAATGGAGGCAAGGAAAACAGGACAAATGCATATAAAACCACCAGAATCACCAAAAAAAACCCAGACTGTCAGAGGTGGTTCAAAATTCCATATAAACTATCAAAATTAATAAAACACTGGTTGAATATGGCAGTCTTGCTTTATTTATCAACTCTTTTAATTAATGTTTTATACCAGCTTTTCAAGTGTTGAAAAAATAAGTTAGTGAAGAAAAAATACCACAATTGAATTGAATTCAAATCCTAGTTAATGCAGACTTTGGAAAATTGCTTTCAGGAAACCTGCATTAACAGTGAATTTACAGTGACCAGTTTTGTTTCTTTGGTCCAGGTAATTGTGTCATCCCAAACATTTGACACCTGGATAAACATTGTCCCACAGTATCGGTTAGTCCCAGGTAACAAAAGCCAACATGAACACTATAGATATCAATCTAATTTTTAATGTAAAAGACAAATTATGTAGCTATCGTACATTTTTCTCAAACTCATAACTGCTGAGATAATTGTCATACACATTTCCCCTCCAAACAGAATTTATCACAGAATTCACATGAAGTTATAATTATTTCTCGGATCACGCACTCATTTACCCCTGAAGATACATTTGAACTCTTCCTATTCAAAGGTTGGAATAGTTCATTATGAAATTTCAGGGGTGAATGACATAATTGTCACCCTGATTTGCCTTCATTTAATTGAACCAAGACAAATTGCTAATACAGTGGATTGCACTTCTAATTATCTTTATTTACAACAATATATTTCATCTGCATTTAAAATTTTCTGTGCTGGGACAGTTTCGTTTATTGTGTTCTAAAAGGTTGAACCAGACTTTTTCATTTATGAAATAGAGACGGACCTAGTGATTTTATGTAACTTTCTTGTGCACATTGGCAGAGACTTTCAAAGCCTCCATAAACATTTGCAGGTCCATCAGGTTTTACCCAGAAATTTTACATTTAAAAAATTGACAATTTCACTTCTCCACATGAAATCCACTGTATCTTGAGTAAACCAATGAATTGCAAACTAGGGACTACACAGTTTTCATAAAGGAGTAGTTCATGTCCTAGGTATTGGTTCCTGGTGTTCAATGCACTGCCATTCAATGTGAAACTCTCGTAGGCCAGGGACCGATGAGCTTATAAAAATAAGGCTTCTTAAACTGGTTTCTAAGCTAGAAATATGAGCATATTATGAATGTATAGGTGTTATATAAAATCTTCATCGTAGATGTCGTCATAATGTCCTGATGAGGCTGCAGCTAAATCTCCAAAATCTCCTTCTCGCTCGGATCTAATTGTGATTTTGTTTTTCTTCTTTTCTTTCTTTTTCAATTCCTAAAAGAACAATAAAAACGAATATGATAAATAAAGTGCAGAACTGCTTTTCTTTGTCTCTGTAACTTAGCTCTATTAACACCAGTAATCCTGGTTCATGGTGATGCTAGGATCGCTTCTTTTATTAGTATCTTGCGGTAATGGGGGGATTGTGTTATTTTCTGTTTGTTCAATAAAAGTGTTTGGTTTCCTTTTCAAAGAAATGAAAATCCTTTGTTGCACCACATTCACATTTTGTAGTGGTTATGCATGTTTTAAAAACTTTTTTATATTTTCTTTTTGTTGCCTGAAAGTTAATCAAGGCTATTTTTCTGAGAGAAAGAAAATAAGACAGCTCTTTCACACAAGCTGCAGGTCAAAGATGACATCCTTGGGAGATGAATGACAAACACAGAAAATTGACAATAGAGTTTATGATTCAATAATTCCTAACATGGAACAATTAAAAACCTTTGTGAAAAATGATATTTGAAATACACAAATTAAGGATGGCAAACTTGAAAATTCACCCTTTTTGGGTTGATTATACATTCAAGTATCTTTCAAGTATTAATTCAGTGACAAAAAGGACTGGGTGCAAGTAATCACACATTATTAATGCCTTTTCCCCCCCGATTGAATTATAAAACAATACATAGAGAAAACTTAACAATGAATACACAAGTTATTCCTTTATGTGAAACTAAATCCTCGTGAATTAGCCATTGGTAGAGGAATCACAAATTAAGCATTGATGAAAATGAAGTTGTATACAATTTACAGCAATACATACTTTTTGTTGTTTCTGCTTTTCTTGATAAATTGTTGTTATGCAGCTCCCAACCTTTCTTACATCTTCTGTTTCAACTGGAAAACATAAAACTACTTTAAAAGTGGAAAAGATAAGAAAGCTAGTTAATTAAGACATAAATCTATGGGAGGGACCATAGCTGGAAAAAACATTCTACTAGGTCCTTACTCCTTTTAAAGTATGATAATTAACAAGTAAAACTGGATTTTTATGTGAATAATATTTAATTTTGTACTTCACTAAGTAGTTTTTGATTCAAATAAACCTTCAAAATTCGTCCATGTGTATAGACATAACATATAACAACACTATTTTATCAAACTAATTCAAGAAGATTTTTAATTATTTCTTTACATTTTTATGATCGATACGGACGATTCACATTAATCTTAAAATAAGAAATTAATAAAAAATATACAAATAATACTTGAGCACTCAACCATACATGTATGCTGCGCCACTGTTTTATAAGACAAGAAATTCATAAAAGTTTCCCCCCTTCAACATCAGGGTGAGTCTACAGAAAAACTCAAAACAGGGGCAGAGGGTGAATATTTCATGACACAAAAATATGAGTTTACAGTAAAAACATGTACACCAGTTATGATCTAATTACTGATATATGTAAAATAAGAGATTTTAACTTCTAAAGATGATGTTAAGTATGTGTAAATGTAAGCAACCTTACTAGAATATTGACAGTTCAGCAAGGGCCCTGCTGTGTGCCAGAACATATCTAGATTATTGTGTGGCAGAATATTTCTAACATTTTCACTTGTGTCAGCACACATCATAATTCATTTCTCCACCAAGTTTAAGAAACTGTTTACTTGGTAAAACAGAGGACTTGTTGAACAGTGTTCACCAGTCCTACCTTGAGTTTGCTAGTCAAGAGACATGGCTATTGAAGAGAACTTCCCAAGTAGATAAGTATAGCATGAAACCAGAAGAGATGGCTGTTTTTTTTAGTACATTTATGTAGTACTGAAAAGGAACAAACAATATTCATAATAGATAATTTTCACAAGTCCAAAAGACCAACTGGGTTTACTAGGTGATTTCCTAGTCCTTGCTGAAATCTAATAGCCCACAGGACTAGCTTAAGGTCATTGGAGTGTATCGATAAACGGAAACAGGAAGTACATCCCTTGTTGAAAATCCAATGTAGGGCGACAGTATCATAATTCCCGCAAATTCTAATGTTTAATATTAAACTGATGAATATTGTATGTTTATTATTGACAAAACAGTGTGCTCTCTCAATATTAAAGTATTTCAAAGCAATCCAGGCATTAATTCAGTTTTTTTTATCAATGAGTCACATGTGTCAATTTTTCTGTACTTAGGAAACCGGCTACCTATTTCACTACTGTTAAGTTTTTCAAGAACGATAACTCTTATCTGCAATTACTATGTGTATATGGTTTTATTATAAAATGTCAATTTTTATATCGTCTATAGTGAATTAATTTTACACAATTTCAGCATTTATTAAATTGATATACATTAATGCAATACTAATATATGTCAGTATTATTTTTATTGACATCATTTTGTAAAAATATTGTGTCTTTCATTTTTTTTCAAAATTCACTCCTTTTTACATAAATTGCCATTTAAAAACCTTAAAATTCTGACAACCTATATCTTTTTTGTGGCAGAAAATTTTCTTACTTTAAAGCAATATAACTACAAAATTTGAAGAAATTCTACTGAGAAATGGTGACACAATCCTATTACCTTAAGTGCCAAACCCTGTTAGCTATGAAAACCTGAGCAGCCCAATATGAACTTAGCAATACTTTGATTTCGTTATAACTGATCAAATTCTTGAATACAATGACTTCGAAAACGAGATTGACCTTGATATACTTACGAGTGAGAACTATATCTGTAAATAACTTTTCTATTAAGGAAACATAATGTTTGGATTTCTGGAAAAGAAAAAAAATAACACGCATTAAAATAAATGTATGCAAGCACTCGCTGAACATTGGAAAGAGAGGCAAAAAAGAATGAAGGAGAATACATTTTACATCTAAACACGAAGATGAAAATCATAGTACTGAAATTTGGATCTGTATCATTTTTCATCTAAGCTTGATGATTTTGTGTACTGTAAAAATATACTTCAACATAACATGTACTTACATCAAAGTATGTAATTTTATTTTTCAACGCCTCTTCAAACTCTTGGTATTCTTCTTCTGTCTCTGGGAACATTGCATCTATACCAGTAATGTCACTTGTACCTGTAATATCAAATGTATTCGGTGTTAACGTCATTATAGCTTGGGTTCAAAGCTGACACTTATGTATTCTAGATCAAAGTTGCTAGTTTTCCGATAAATTGAAGAAAAGACTAGATTTAGCTTGAAGTGAAGGCTTCATTGATACCCCCACTCCTTGTATATCCACAAAATTTGATACCAATTTTCATGATATGCTGCAGTAACGTGTATTACACTGTATTTCAATTTAGTACTTGAAGTAAAGGTCAAGTCAAAATGAGGTCACAGTGACCTCATTTAAGGGCGTGATACACTGCCTTCCCATGATGCATCTTTATATACAAAGTTTGATTTCAAATTATGAAACAGCTGCTGCGATATATTGTTGAAAATATTACTTAAGCACTTAGGTCAAAGTCAAAGGTCAAATCAAGGCCAGAGTGACCTTGTATTAAGATGCAACACACCACAACTTCCATACAATAATTGCCATACTGAAGCATTGATTTAACAAAATGTGTTTCATATGCACATACACATTGACATATCTCAGCATATTATGCATAAATGAGGTTACAATTGACTGAAAACTAAAAATATGTCCTGAAAGCTGGTGATAAAATTTCCACAAATTTGCTCGTTTCTTGAATATCGATTTCTAGGAGTACAACATTGAACATGCTTCACTGGCGATAGAATTTGGCATGAACAATGTAAAAATAAAAATGTACAAGAAGTCAACATGTTGGAACAAGAGAGAATGAATTGCAAGGGGATATGTATCATGACAAAATTTAAAACAAACACCAGCAAATATTAATCCATTCTAGTGATCTGACAACTTAATTAGTTTATATCTCGATGCAGTGAACTCAATGTTGTTATACAAATATAATCCCTATTATGTACCAAAGGCTTCCTTCGCAAGTTTGAGGTCAGATTCTTCCTGCAGCTTTCTCCGTCGTAATTTCTCGGACAGCTCCTCTTCAGGTGTGAGAACTCTCTGTTCCTCTTCCTGAGAAACAAAATTCTTTGTGAAATAGGTGTGAACAGTTAACTATCGTAAAATACAACTGTAAACCATTATCAAGTCAATCGTCCACATCATCACTGTCCAAAGAAATTAGTGTGAATTTTGTGCCGACCCAAAACACAAGAAAAAAAAGTGACCTTGACTCTAATGGTTAAGACACAATCATAGTACAGTGTGTAGCAGTTACATTGGATCAGAATATATTCCACTACACAGGACTTGATGGCCAGGACGAGTATAACAACTAATTGTGACGTGGAGTAGAGCCAGTAAAATGGACATTTGCAATGGTAAAATCATGATATACCACTAAAAGAAACAACAATTTTAAGATACATATTTTAATTTGGGTCAAACTGTCATGGATTGGTGATGTCAAGAAAATTAAAAGTTAGGCAGAATTACATTGACCCTTCCGAGTCACTCTTTTGTTCGTGATGTCATCAATATTTAATTTCATGACATGTCAGGGCTAGTAGGGGTCAATGACATCTTTAACTATCACCATCTGGGCTTCATAAGTAAATCAGAAAATTGCACACTGTTTATTGTTGTAATACTACTGTCACAAATTGTTTCGAATGACCCATCAAACGAACTATTACATCTCAAATGAATTAGAATGTGACTATTGTAGAAATTGTCATCTGGGCATCGAGTGGTACACATGCAACACCATCCACTTAATATATATCTAATATGGTTTTGTCACAAATTTTCAGCTGATTAGGGGACATTTGTATAAAGTTTGAGAGCATATGGGGACCTCTGAAAGTAAGAGACGGAGTAAGTAAACTGAAACTCTTTTTACAACAATAATAATCCCCAGCTGATTCCTTGATGTAGAGGGGTTTGTTTTTTTAATTTTCCTTTGAATTGGATACACTGGCTGGTTAGGATTTTGATGGCAATAACTGTGACCTTCTCAGTCTTAGAATTCAGAATTTATAGACTATAGACAATAGATCAATATTTAATACAGGTTTTCTTTATATATATACAGAGCTACTGACACTTTATAGACATAAGAAAATTTGCCTTACACAGTAAGTGCTCTTTATAACATGATATTTAGGAAATATTTAAAATAATATCGGAAGAAAATTAACATAACAGAAAACTTTGAATTCCCTCACCACTAGACTTATCATTGAATCATAAACATCATACGATACAACTTCATAGACAACTTGGTTAATGAAGTAAATGATCCCCATAGACCGAAAGTGTTTCTTATGGTGATTGTGCACACGTGTATGGGCTCAATGTTAAGTTTGAATATTGCCTTTTTTGAAATTGAAAAAGAAGCCCAAGCTAGCACTTTGGACTAAGAAGGCCTAGCATGAAATTCTGAGTTATAAAGAATCAAAGGAACTAAACATATCATGTAGATATTGATAAGCAGTGACCTAACTTCAGACCATTTGACCTAAAAAGCAAGCTAAAACAAACATTTTGCAAAAATAATAAAATTTCACTGCCAAGACATCTCATGTTGTTGTATTGAAATGAATCTGAAATAAAGAGCATCAATACAATACTTTCTTCAATGATGGGGGTCTGACAAGGACAATACTGAAAACAAGAAATTAATACATTTTAATAACCTTTCATCTTCATATATATCTACCGTAAAAAACTAGTTTGACATTTTTTTACCTGTGCTTTTTTCTTTGCTGCTTGTTTTTCTGCTATTCTATCGGCTAGTTTCTTTTTCTTTCGTTGAAAGGCTTTTCCGGATTCTGCTGCAGAACCAGACTCTAACATTGATAAAGGAAAATTGTAAGAACAACAATCACAATAACTGAAGTAAATTTCCAGTGCATGCACTAGTACCAATACCTGTCCTTTTACAATCTCTATTATTCTACCACCATCACCTCACCAAGGTCAGTAGTTGATTAACAACTCCCCATGACTGGTTAAAATCCTGAATGTGCAGAGTTGAAGATTTGTGCTATTCAACTTTTTCTCTGCCATTTCGGATATTTATTCACAGTTTAGTACCATAATACATACTTTATTATGTATTATATTCTTGAATGTTAGCTTTTTTAACAATCAGAATTGAATGAAACCAATTCGACCACGTTTGAAATATAACAGCACTTTCATTGGTTAATAACTTTTAATTATTGGACGATGGACCATGCAAATGAATGTATTATATCCCAACAGACCAACATTCCTCAAAAACCTCCCCTGTGGGACTTGTTTCTAGTAACCGCATACTCTTTTTTATGTATTTGAAGATCTTCTAGCAAACAAACAAAAAATGTTTCTATTTAACATCTAGATCTACTAAAAACCTGCCAAACTAACTATGTCTGGTATAAAGCATGACGTCAGTGATAATTGTTTATCGTCCGTTGGCCAAATAGCAACTGATAATTAAGTCTTTTCAAATATTTTCAGGTTAAATACACAAAATAGAACAATTGCCCATAGGGTAAGAAATCATAAAAAAAACATGCAGCTTGTTGTGATATGAAGAGATATTGGCCTCGTTATATATTCCACCATAAAACAAACGTTGATTATTTCTTAAATAACAACATAAATTAATGATTTTGTAATGCAATAACTAATGTTTTATACAGTTAACACATCTTTGTGATTTTTGTTTAATTATAATAAATTTACTAACTGATCATCTTATCCAAACTCTGGAATCATTAGTTAATATTTATGATGGTGTCATAGTCTTTTCCTAAATAATGCTGAATCTTTCAGGAAAAGTAGCTAAACTTATTTGTTTTATCTTGTGCTTGATATCGCTTCTAATCTCATGACTGGTCATCAAATGAAATCTTTTAAATCTATAGGCTAAAACGTTGCTTGAATGCAGCTTATGGTAAAACGTTTGAGTAATATTGTTTGTGTAATCACTTTTCAAGTCTGATCCACATCTCAATAACTCTTGAAAGTTCTCATGTTCTAGTCAATCCATGATCAATCATAAAATCAAAATCAATTTGTCAGTCAGTGGCAAAGCAACTAATCTTTAATTACATTGATTAATTGGAACAACACTTCTTTCATATATGAATATTATTTTGATTCTTAGATTCTACCTGCGCCTTCAGCTTTCTTCTCTTCCTCGTCATCCTCCCAGTTATCCTAAAATAAAAACATTCATTTCATTATTAACATATCAAGATGTAACTTTAGATCAGATTTGTAGCACTTGTACATGTTTGTTTAAAAGCAGGAGGACACACTGATATTGCCATTGGAATTAACTCATTCACCCCTGAAGACACATTTGAACTCCACAAATTCAAATAATGGAATAGGTCATTATGCAATTTCAGGGAATACAATATGTCTATATGGGCTGGAGGGCATGTAAACAGTACAGTGCTCCAGATAGCTTGTGTGAATGCATACGCAAAAGAAAAAAAATGAACTTGCTTAATTCACGCAAGCAAAATCCGGAACATTGCGTCGGGCTTCGTGGCCAATTTAACAGATTATAATACGCTTACAGCGACTCACTGAGATGCTTGCATAGTATGTAAATCAATGCCTACTGTTACAAATGCTAACATGATCGAGAATATTTTAGACGATTGAATCATGACGCTTTCAACACAACAATCGCTATTTGAAATGGGCAAATTTTTGAGTCATTTTTATTGTATAAGTATAACAGTACACATACCCATTATTCAACTTATTTTAACATTTTCTGGCAACGTTGCTTTTACAGTACTTCATGGTTCAAAAATTTAAGTTTTCACACCAACACTTTGGAAAGGTAGGAGTAAAAAAAAACACATATTCAAATGTTATCTGGAGCACTGCAGTATACGTATATACTGGAACATAAACATGAAAGTGTCAGTCTATTTGGTACATTGTATATAATGATCAGTCAAAACAGATTCTAGATCCAGGTCTTTAGAGGTGAGAAAATCAGCTGCCATCTTATATGGTAAGTGTTGTGTTCCATGGAGGGCATGGACATGACGGGGGTTGGGTTATATTAGCAGTGATAATTCTGGAGGGGGGCTGAGGTCATTGACCCCTCAGAAATGAAATTGACCCCTCCATGTTTCTTGTAATTTTACATAGACATAGAATGGCCCATCTTTATTTTAATATTGCTTTCAAATTCCAGATTTTCCCTGTATAAGTTTAAATTCATTCACTATACATCAGTGGCAGATTCCAGAGGTTTTTTTTGGGCTTCAGGAAACCCCCCCACCCTCAGAATTTTCTTTAATAATCATGTATTTTCACCATTTTCCTCCACATGGACCCCCCC